TCAAGTAAATTTAAAACAAGCTTCCCAGGCCATCTCGAGAGCGCTCCCACTGCAGCCTCTCACGTCTCGGATTTCAATGAGCTTGTTAATACCCAAATCGATATTAAGGCTTGTCTTGCTCAAACCGCGCCTCCTTGTGGTGCTTGACGTTGCTGCTTGATGCCTGATGATGGTGTGCTGACGTTGCTGCTGATGTGACGTTGTTGGTGGTGCTTGATGCATGTTGGTGATGGTGAAAGTTTGCCTGATGCTGAATTGTTGATGCTGACGTTGCTGCTGCTGGCCTCGTTGCTTGGTGATGCTGACGTTGTTGGTGGTGCTGATGATGTTGGTGTGCTGAGCGCGGTTGTTGGTGTGATGCTGATGATGTTGGTGATGCTGATGATGTTGGTGATGCTGACGTTTGATGCTTACAAGGTTGATGAAGTGACTTGCATTGCTGGAGCTGTTGCTGAAGGTTGCGTCTAACGTTAGTTGCATGCTGAGTTTTAGGTGAATGCTGAAATTTTGTTGCTTGATGTGAAGATTTTCGGTGATGTGAGTTAGTTGTGATACTGAAGTTGTTGGTGATGCTGAAAGATGGTGATGCTGATAATGTTGGTGATGCTGACGTTGTTGAATGCTGATTATGTGGGTGATGCTGAAGTTTGTGATGTGACGTTTGCTGCTGTGCTTGCTGAAACCCGTCGATGCTGAAGTTGATGAAGCTGACTTGATGCTGAGCTGTTGCTTGATGGCTGAATGATTGCTGGGCGTAACGCCACTGTTGAATGCTAAAGTTGGTTGGTTTGATGCTTTGACGTTGTTCTGGGGATGATGGCTTGAAGTTTCGTTGTTCGATGTTGAAGGTTGGTTGATCTGAGTTGTTGTGATGCTACGTTTTTGTGCTATGCTTTGACGTTGGTGATGTGAAGTTGATGAAGCTGACTTGATGATCCTGAAGTGCTGCTGGCATGCCTGCACGTTGTTTGATGCATGCTGATGGCCTGCTTGATGCTGAAGTTGTTGATGCTGACGTTGCTGCTGCTTGACTTTGCTTGATGCTGATGATGTTGGTGATGCGTGAAGTTGCTGCTGGTGCCTTGACGTGATGCCTCGAAGTTGATTGAAGCTGACTTGTATGCTGCGTAGTTGTTGCTCCGGTAGCTGAAGTTGCTGCACACAACTGCCTGACGTCTGTTGCCTGATGCTGAATTCTTCTGATGTTGAAAGAGTTGGTTGATGCTGAAGTTGCTTGCTGCATGCTGAACGTTATTAGTAATTCTGAAGTTGTTATGGTATGATGAGTTGTTATATGTTGCCGACACTGGAAGTTTGGTGATGCTGAAAC